TTGTAGTTAAATATTTTAAAAAATGAGTTGATTAAAGGCATAAAGACATTCTTTTCACTTGTAATTTCAATTTTTTTAATATGCCCTTGTTTTTTGTATTTTTCTTCATTTTTTTTGTTAGGGTAAAATACACATAACATAAAATTTACTATCTTAACGGTTTTTAAGTGTTTACTGATATTAAATACATTCATAATGTTGTGCAACCCCATAACTCTTTTCCTCCCATAAAACTGAAACCCCTTAAGTGTTAAACAGTAATTCCACATCCCCCCTCCCTGCATCCCGGGCAGCCACCATTCTACTTTCTGCCTCTGTGATTTTTTGACAATAAGTACCTTATATAATTGGAATCATACAGTATTTGTATTGTTGTGACTGGCTTGTTTCACTTAGCGTAGTGTCCTTAATGTTCTTCTGTGTTGTAGCACATTTCAGAATTTACTTCCTTTTTAAGGCTGAATAATCTTCCAGTCTATGGATGTACCACATTTTTCTTATCCATTCATTGATCGATGGGCACTTGGGTTGCTTTCATGTTTTAGCTGTTGTGAATCATGCTGATATGAACATGGGTGCACAAATATCTCTTTAAGAACCTTCCTTGAGTTCTTTTTGGGTATCTACCCAGGAATGGAGTTTCTGGGTCATATGATAATTCTATTTTCAATTTTGGAGCATCCACCATGCTGTTTTTCACAGCGGCTGTACCGTTCTACATTCCTACCAGCAGTGTTGAAGGGGTCCAGTTTCTTCACATCCACGCCACCACTTGTTTCTGTTTTTCTGATAGTAGCCATCCTGATGGGTGTAAGGTGGTATCTCATTGTGGTTTTGATTTGTATTTCCGTAATGATTAGTGATGTTGACCATCTTTTTATGTCCTTGTCGATCATTTGTATATCTTCTTTGGAGAAATGTTTATTCAGGTCCTTTGCCCATTTTTGAATCGGGTTGTTTGGTTTTTTCGTTGTTGAGTTCTAGGAGTTCTCTATATATTCTGGGTATGAATCTCTAATCAGATAGATGATTTGCAAATATTTCTACTCATCCTGTGGGTTGCCCTTTACTCTGTTGATAGTGCCTTTTGATGCACAAAATTTTTTGATTTTCATAAATTCCAATTGTCTTATTTTATTCTTTTGTTACCTGTGCCTTTGATGTCATATCCAAAAAATCATTGCCAAATGCAGTGTCATGAGGCTTTTGTCCTATGTTTTCTTTTAACAATTTTATTGTAAGTCCTACATTTAGGTCTTTGATCCATTTTGAGTTTATTTTATATATGATTTAAGAGAAGGATAACCTCATGCTTTTGCATTTGGCTATCCCGTTTTCCCAGCACCATGTGTTGAAAAGACTCTCCTTTCCCCATTGAATGATCTTAGCACCCGTATTAAAAATCATTTAACCATATATGCAAGGGTTTAATTCTGGGCTCCTTCATTTTATTCCGTTGATCTTCATGGCCGTCTTTATGCCACTACCACACTGTTTTGATTACTGTAGCTTTGTAGTAAGTTTTCAAGTCAGGAGTGTGAGGCCTGCAGTTTTGTTCTCTTTCAAGGTTGTTTTGGATATTTAGGGTCCCTTGGGATTCCATATGAATTTTAGAATGGGTTTTTCTGTTTCTTCAAAAAACATCATTGGGATTTTGATAAGGGATTGCAAGTGTGTTGTTTAATTTCCACTATTTTTTGAATTTTCTGTTATTGATTTCTGCCTTTATCTTGTCATGGTTAGAGTAGATAGTTTGTATGATCTCTATCTTTTTAAATCTGTTGAGACTTAATTTGTGGCCTAACTTAATGTCTGTCCTGGAAAATGTCCCATGTGCAGAAGAATGAGTGTGCTGTTGTTATTAGGTGGGGTGTTCTGTGAATGTCTGTTAGATCTATATTATGTTAAGTCCGCTATTTCCTTCTTTCTGGTTGTTGTAGTGAGGGGATATTGAAGTCTCTAACTATTACTGTAGAATTGTATATTTCTCCCTTAAATTCTGTCAGTTTTTGCTTCATATATTTTTATAGTGTTTCACTAGGTACAGAATTGCTTATAATTGTCGTATCTTCTTGACTTATTGAATATTTAGTTAATATATAATGTCTTTTGTAACGTTTTTTGATTTACCATCTATTTTTGTCTGATATTAGTATAGCCACTTCTGCTCTCTTTAGCTTATTTTGTGCATGGAATATCTTTTCCCATACTTTCACTTTCAACTTCTTTGTGTCTTTCAATGTAAAGTGAGTCTCTTATAGACAGCATGTAGTTGGATCGTGTGTTTTTATCCATTCTGCCAATCTCTGTCTTTTTGATTCATGAGTTTAACACATTTATATTTAAAGTCATTACTGATAAGGAAGGACTTAGTTCTGTCATTGTGTTGTTTTCTATATGCACTATAGTTTTTTCCCCCCACATTTCCTGCATTCCTATCTTCTATTGTGTTTAGTTGATTTTTTGTAGAGAAATGTTTAAATTTCTTTCTCATTTCCTTTTGTGTATATTCTATAGCTGTTTTCTTTGTAGTTACCATCGGGACTACATTTAACATCCTAAAGTTGTCATACATTAATTTGAATTTATATCAATTTAAGTTCAATAACATACAAAAACTATCCTCCTTTACAGCTCCATTCCCACCCCTTTGGATTGCTGATGTCACACAATTACATCTTTAAACATTGTGTGCCTAAAAATATAAACTAATGATTCTTTTAAATGCATCAGCCTCTTAAATTATGTAGAAAATAAGATATGGAGTTACAAACCAAAGTTACAACAATACTGGCTTTTACAGTGATAACTGTTCCTGTTTTCATTGAAGGTATTTCTCTCTTAAATTATGGAGACAATAAAAGGTGCAGTTACAAACCATTGTTACAATAATATTTACTTTTATAATTGCCTGTATAATTATCTTTTGAGATCTTTACAGTCGTGTGTCACTTAGTGACACGGATACCTTTTGAGAATTGCATCATTAGGTGATTTCGTCTTTGTGCAAACATCATAAAGTGTACTTACAGAAACCTAGATGGTGTAGCCTGTTACACACTCAGGCTATCTGGTACTAACCTTATGAGCCCACCATTGTATGTGCAGTCCATCATTCACCAAAACGCTATGACACGGCACATGACTCTACTTCTTCATACGGGTTTGGGTTACTGTGCAGTGTCCTTCCATTTCAACACACACTACTCCCTTGAGCATTTCTTGCAGTGAAAGTTTAGTGGTCACAGACTCCCTCAGCTTCTGTTTATCTGGGAATGTCTTGATTTCTCCCTCACTTTTAAAGGACAGTTTTGCTGTATATAGGATTCTTGGTTGACAGTTCTTTTTCTTTTATCACTTTGACTATATTGGCTCCCTGCCTTCTGGTTTCCAGAGTTTCTCATAAGAAATCTGCTGATGATTTTATTGAGGATCCGTTGTATGTAATGATTTGCTTTCCTCTTGCTGTTTTCAAGATTCTCTCTAGATCTTTTGAAAGTTTGTTAAATGTGTCTCTATGTGGGTCTCTTTGAATTTACCTTACTTGGATTTGGTTGACCCTCTTGGATGTTGACATTCATGTCTTTCATGACGGTTGGGGAGTTTTTCACCATTATTTCTTCAGATGTTTTCTCCGTCCCTTTTTCTCTGTCCTCTTCTTTTGGGACTCCCACAATGCGTATATCAGTATCCTTCATGGTGTCCCACAGATTTCTTAGGCTCTTTCAATTTTCTTCAACCTTTTTTTTTCTGTTCCTCAGACTTAATCATTTCCATTGTCCTATCTTCAGATTCACTGATTCTTTCTTCTGCCTACTCAAATCTGCCTTGAACCTCTTTACTGAACTTTTCATTGCAATTTTTGTACTTTTCAATTTCTTTTGGTTTCTGTTTAGATTTTCTGTCTCTCTATTCATGTATGTGTTTTGTTCATACATCATTTTCCTGACTTTCTTCATATCTTTATTTCTTTGAACCTCTTTAATATTTTTCTTTTAAAGTCTTTTTCCAGTAGATCTGCCATCAGGCCTTTTCAGGGATAGTTTCTGTTGATTTGTATTTTTTCTTTGAATGGACTATACTTTTCTGTTTCTTTTCATGGTATGTGACTTTTTGTTGACACTGGACGTTTGATATAATAATGTGGTAACTCCAGAAGTCAAACTTACCCCTTCCTCAGGGTTTGCTGTTTTTTCATCTGGTTTTTGTTTATTGTTTTTTTGATTGTTGGCGGCTCTATCTGTGCCAAGGATCAGCCTGAGGTGCAAACTCAGTGTCTTCTTAGGTTTTTGCCTGAGCCTTTTCTTGGGCATGCACAGTCACTTTCTAATTTTCTCCGTGTATGCAGTTGTTTTTGAATGTCCTAGTCTTTAATGACTGGCTCCAAAAAGGGGAAAAAGAGAAAAATGAAGAGGAGAAAAGACGCACACCCTTTAACTCTCCTGGAAGTCACTTGAGCAGGAGGCAGGGGTCTTGCTACACTGGGAGAGGTGCAGCTGCAGTGGCCACCCGCCTCTGTGTCTGCACCTCTGTGGTCCGAAGCAGCAAGCAGCAGTCAGAGCACAGACTCTTAGTGTTGGGGGCACAGAACCTTTTTGCCCACCTTGGCTCCCACCCGCTGTGTGCAGGCTGCTCCAGGAACATGTGCACAGCTGCCTGCCAGGGGCTTGGGGTGGGGACAAGTACCTCCTACTGTGCTAAGAGCAGAAATTAACTAGAATTTACCATCCAAGCCTTCCCCTGGAAGTGACAAGCCTTCAGCAGGCCCCAGATTCCAAAATAGTTCCATCAGATAGATTATGCCCCTGCACTTGTCATCCAGGTATGGAGATTCCTGGTGCTTCCTCCTCTGACATCTTCCCAGAATCCTCTTTTTCCCTTGTTTTTCACCTCTGTTTTGCAGTACCTTTTCACTGCTGGTCAGTATGTTTTTAATCTGAATTATAAGTAATAAAAAAGTTTGCTAATTTGCCATTCTTTCCTTTTCTTTCCTTGAATAGGAGGACAGTGATCCGCCTGTTCATGAAAGTCTCAGCATAGAAAACACCTTGTGGGCAAGCACCATTGTTGCATCAGGTAAGAAATAAGTTCTATTTTTAGCATAAGTTCTCACATAAAGGTGATCCTTTGTGTGTTTGAATGACTCCAAACAAATGCTTCTCAAAATGCCTTCCATTATGTATATACTCCACTTCAGTGGGTGTGGAATGGGCCTGAGAGTCTGCATCTTGCACAAGCCCAGGACAAGGCCGGAGCTGTTGCTTACCACCCTGCACTCTGAGCAGCAAGCCCCAAGCAGCTGTGGGTAGTACATCTTCATGTAGGAATGCACAGATGTTTTGCTGGTTTTGACATCTGTTTCTTGACAAACTTGACAGTGTGCCTTAATGAGAGGTGGCACAGCAGAGCTAGGTAAGCAAATGGTGATTTTAGAGGGACCTTACCTCTCTTCATTCATCTAACAGAATTCATAGGAGGTCAGTGTGGTGCATTGTCTGGGAGGGAGAGAAGTCTTAGATGACTTAGAGAGCCGTTAGGAGGTAGATTGTGTCTGAGCTTTAGGGACCAGGACAAAGATTCTTAATTTTCTTATTAGTAAAATTGGAGGATGTTGGAGTATTTCTAGCAGTCAAACAGGGCGGCCATTTAAATTTACATCTTGTAAAGTAAATTTCTCTGGGTGTTATTGAAAATCTGAATGATTGTCACCTTCTCAGAAAGTAATTCACCTTGCTAATGGTGCCAGGAATGAAGCTTAGCAGCAGGGAGTATTAAGGTCACTGTTGGGCACAGGAACCCGAGGAAACATTCAAAGTAGGCTTGTCTGTCTTCCCAGCGTCTATTGCCCGATGCTGGGAACCCTCCTCTCTTTGAAGTCAGTCATCCTTCTGATGGTTTTGTATGGAATCTCTGCTCCAGACCAGGCACTAATGACACAGTGTGGAACAAAGTCCTTAGGATCCTGTCCTCAGGAGCGTGTGGGTGAGAAAGACATTAAGGAAATGAGACTGATAATTTCAACTATGCTAAGTATCACAGAAAGGTGTTGGGTGCCCTGGAAACAAGCCAAAAACCTTACCTGGTCCAGGTTTGGGGGAAGCTTCTCTGAGGAAGAGATATTTGGACTAGATTTAAAGAATACACCGATGTGACTGGGTAAGATGGATGGAAGGGGGCTGTGGAGGATTCCTGGCAGTACTGACACTTATGTGAAGGCCTGGTGCTGAGAGGGAGAGTAGCTGAAGAAAATGATCTAAGGGCCAGGGTGCCTGGCACAGAGAAAAGGAAGGGATCAGACACATGCAGGGCAGTTCTGTGTGCATGTGTTTAAATGGGGGCCTGTGTGTACATGAAAGTGTAAAACAGACTCCAGCAAAGGTACACTCACCCATCTTTTGGGGGAGAGAGAATAAAAGAAGATTTAGTTTTCTACTATTACTTGTAACTAAAAAAAAGCAAGTTGATAACAAATATGACAATTTGAATAGATAGAAATTCTGTGAGGTGTTTGATGTTATTTTTTGTACTGATGAATTTTTCAAATTTCTCCAATTAAAAGAGAGAGAGAAAGTAAGGATAACATGCATGAAGAGACCTCTGAGGGAGCACAGCAGGTCCTAGGTTGTGTAGCCCACAGGAAAGGTCTTCACACCATGAAGAGTCCTCAGATGGAGCAGACCTGGTTCTAGGTTGTGTAGCCCTCAGGAAGGGTCTTCACACCATGAAGATAACCTCAGAAGGAGCAGGCCACATCCTGGGCTGTAGCCCTCCGGAAGGGTGTTCACACCATGGGTCCTCAGAGGGAGCAGGCCAGGTCCTTGGTTGTATAGCCCTCGGGAAGGGTGTTCACACCATGGAGAGTCCTCAGAGGGAGCAGACCACATCCTGGGCTGTAGTCCTCCGGAAGAGTGTTCACACCATGGAGAGTCCTCAGCAGGAGCAGGTCAGGTCCTGGGATGCATAGCCCTCAGGATGGGTGTTCACACCATGGAGAGTCCTCAGAGGGAGCAGACCACATCCTGGGCTGTAGCCCTCCGGAAGGGTATTCACACCATGGAGAGTCCTCAGAGGGAGCAGACCACATCCTGGGCTGTAGCCCTCCCAGAAGGGTGTTCACACCATAGAGAGTCCTCAGAGGGAGCAGGCCAGGTCCTTGGTTGTATAGCCCTCAGGAAGGGTGTTCACACCATGGAGAGTCCTCAGAGGGAGCAGGCCAGGTCCTGGGCTGTAGTCCTCCAGAAGAGTGTTCACACCATGGAGAGTCCTCAGCAGGAGCAGGTCAGGTCCTGGGATGCGTAGCCCTCAGGATGGGTCTTCACACCATGGAGAGTCCTCAGAGGGAGCAGGCCAGGTCCTGGGCTGTAGTCCTCCGGAAGAGTGTTCACACCATGGAGAGTCCTCAGCAGGAGCAGGTCAGGTCCCGGGATGCGTAGCCCTCAGGATTGGTCTTCACACCATGGAGAGTCCTCAGAGGGAGCAGGCCAGGTCCCAGGATGTGTAGCCCCAGGAAGGGTCTTCACACCATGGAGAGTCCTCAGAGGGAGCAGGCCAGGTCCCGGGATGTGTAGCCCCAGGAAGGGTCTTCACACCATGGAGAATCCTCAGAGGGAGCAGGCCAGGTCTTGGGATGTGTAGCCCTGGGGAAGGGTCTTCACACCTTGGAGAGTCCTCAGAGGGAGCAGGCCAGGTCCTTGGTTGTGTAGCCCTCAGGAAGAGTCTTGCAACCACCATTGGGAGGGTACTCTGCAGCCAGGGGCTGTATTAGAATCCTGTCCTCACACTTCTTTCACATCACTGTTCTTGTGTTGCACCTTGCTGATGGTCCTGGATTGTCTAAGCCTTGCCACAGTTAAGTGAAGTGCTGCTCTTAGTCTCACTTTGTGGGTGAAGGACTGTGGCTCAGAAAGGCACACAGCTACGCTGTAGTGGGACCAAGATTTGAATCCAGGTGTGCTGTCCTTGGCAGCCATTGCCATTCAGCACTTAGCATTCAATAGTTTTAGGTAAATATTTACAGTATGCCACTCTAAGCTAATACTTGGTCACAGATTCTACGTTTTCTGTATCTAGATGTTGTATTCCATTTTGTTTCCATCATATTGATGCTTATTCTTCTTAATAAAGGTTCAGAGTTTAGTTCATTCATAAAGATATTCTAAGATTCTTTTTATTTATAAATTTTATTTGATCTTTTGTTTCCTGACTATCAGAGTGTTGTTACTGATCCCAGTACTATTGATTTGTGGCCTTTCTCCTCAAAGAGACAGAAGCAACCTGAGCTCAGGCTTCTGAGATATCCCTGATAATTCCCTGTGTACAGTTTTTGTCTCCTGGCCTCACTTCTCTAGATGACCTTGGCGAGTGGCAGCTCCACTTGCACTCTCAGCAATGCAGACACAGACTGAGGCATCGCAACACACTTGCCTCCTCGGCAGCTCTGTCCTGTTCTCTATGACACATAGAATGTGCCAGGGTATTTTATCTTCTGGAGAGTGTTTAGACTGCTTTAAAACCATCAATTCCAAAAGTTTAAATTAGCTGACTTAAAGTTTAATTTGTGTTTGGGCATTTTTAAAATGCAAGCTTTTTAAATTAATTTCAAAACTTTTAACATGCACTTATTTTTACTTAAAAACCTTATTAATGTGAACAATTACTGGACTCTGTGTATTATCAGACTGCCATATCCGAGTGTTTGAAAACTGGATTTCTAGGAGTAATGTTAGGGCTATCTTCTTTATACTTGATTACATGTTGAGAAGAAAAGACCAGAATCTTTTAAAATCTTGCTCTTTCAGTGTTATATGTCAGTTGAGTTCAAGTTGCCTCCTGGTGAAGTGAACTCAGACCTTCCTCCCTTGTCATAGGATTCTGAATGCCTGCGAGCAAGGACTCATGTTAACACAGACAGACACAAGGACTGACGGTCACCAAAGAGGGGCAAATGCAACTTCTTGTGGCGCCAAGCTGCTGTTTCCTCCTTGATGGTTCAGAGAACATCGCTTTTCCAAAGCACAGTCAGTGTTGTGTAGAGGTGCTGTGTTCCACTGATAAGCAGAAAAGGGGATATTCCCATCTTAAATTGAAGAGAGCCCGGAAGCAAAGATGAGTCCCCAGAGCAGGACTGTAGGACATGTGTGCTCAGACGGGGGTCCAGGGCTGAGCCCCCAGAGCAGGACTGCAGGACGTGTATGCTCAGACAGGGGTCCAGGGCTGAGCCCCCAGAGCAGGACTGCAGGACGTGTGTGCTCAGACGGGGGTCCAGAGCTGAGCACTCAGCAGGACTGCAGGACGTGTATGCTCAGACAGGGGTCCAGGGCTGAGCACTCAGAGCAGGACTGCAGGATCTGTGTGCTCAGACAGCGGGTCCATGGCTGATACTGATTGTGATAAATACAGAAAATAAGAGTAAACGTTTGGAAACTTTTATAGCAATTTGACGAAGTAATTTAATGTTTAACAAAATTGGGGAACATATTTTCTTGTTTTTGTTATTTCATTTCTCTTGGTAATTTATTGTTATATTTAGTCCTCATGGCAGATTAGAAATTTAAAAACAAAACCTGGCACTTTACCATACATAGTTTGTGAGGCTCCTGTACTAGAGAAAGGTTAGTACACATAGGATTGAGACAGCAGGAGAAGCCGTCCCACTAAGACATCACCTAAGAGACCAGACCCAGAGAGCTCTGGTATACCCAAAGACACGTGGAACCTGGGCATGCAGGAGCAGTGGAAATAACAACACACCCCAGCATGCACTTCTTAATTCACAGCCAGGGGTGGGAGTTGATGCTTCCCAAACCTTCCATCTCATGGGGCAGTTGCAATGGTCTGGGAGTGGGTGGAGACATTCTGTCCGTCACTTCCTGTTGTTCTGACACCTTCCCCTGACTTGCACAGTTGGTAGAGCCTAGAGCTGGTGAGGTCTCCCCATCACTCTCTGTGTCCCTGGCCTTGGTCTCTTTATGTAACTTTCCTGAAGATAGTTCCCTGTCTTCAGGCTGCGTGGCTGGTCCTGACAGGTGTTTAGTGTTCATGGGTACCCTGCCCTGCTTTGTGTCTTCATGCTCTTTGGTGTTTTCCTTTCCTTCCCTTGGTTCCCAGCACGTGAAAGTACTGCAGTCCACGAGCAGCCAGACACCAGGTCTTGTTGAGATTGGCACCAGGAGAGCATCTGTAGGTTGTCGTCCATTCCCAAGGCTGCCACAAGTGGCCCTGGCACTTTCCCTGCCGAATCTAGCAGGTTCTCGGTGTGTAATTGAGTCAGGAAATACTGTGGTTGGTTGATGGCTATCTCGATCTGTCTGTCTCTCTCTCTCCGTACAACATTTTTCTCTTTTGTAGTCAATCTTCTGTTATTTCTGATGAATGTGTTATATTTTATCCCCCTCTCATGTCTCAATTTCAAAATTAACGGGTAGTCTTTTCCCATATTTCTTTCTACTCTATACAGGGTTTACTCAATCTTTTAGCTTATAATAATTCATAAATACATACTCTTTTTCAAAGAGAGTGAAGAATATTCCAGATATTCTGTACTGACTCTAGTAATTTTAGTAAATAAATAGCATGACAGACTCAGAAAAAAAAAATGCGTTAACTACATGAGTACTCATTTTTAGTGAGAATGAAATGAAATAGTACATATGATAGCCTTTACCAAACTTTAATAGATTATACTAATAGCATTGCATGAGAAATTCTTTAAATACTTACTATATATGGTATATTTAACATGCAGATACTGACTGTATTCTATGTATATCTGAATGAGGTGTTTCTTGTTAGTCTTGTCATTTCTCAGTCTCATTCTCGGCCCTGTAAACGGTACCACAGCCTGTGATCAACATTGCCAGTCGGCTCCCTGCTCTAGGAGAGTGGTTCTAGCCGTCTGCCTTCTCTCAGGCTTGTTTCTTCTGCTGTTGTTAAAAATAGTTTGCAGTTTGTCTTGTTCTGTTTTTGTGGTTATTTAACATTAGTGACACTTTTATGTTTTGATTAAGTTAGACTTAATTGGCAAAATAGGAAGAAAATATCAGGTCAGATTTAACATTTAGCTTCACTGACAAAAGAATTGTGTGATATTTTTTTTGAAAGTTTTTTATAGTGTATCATTATGTGTTTAATATTTTTCTGTATAGCAAGTACAAACATATCATCTAGGAAGTTTATTTGGATAATAATATATATAAAGATAGCATTTGTGCAGTTTGGGTTAGCTTATATGCCAAATGTGAGCTTACTGTCTTTTCAAGAACACAATAAATTTGAACTTCACACGCTAAATTCAAACCTTGTAGCTTTCCCAGTGGCACACAGTTTAAAAAGGGAAAAAAGGAAATTCTTATTCCAAAAGAGAAAAGCTGTGTAACCTCTGCAGGTGTCGCTTGTGAGTGGTATTCCAGCAGCCTTCATCTTCTTGAACGTCCTGTGGCAGAAGCTGTTTGAATGTGATGTTTGTAATACGCAGCTACCGTTGCTCATATAAATCCGAGAGGTTGCTGAGATCCTACTTTTTACTCCGTGGAGCCTACTCTTGACTCACTAAGTTTCACACATTGACCTCATGTGACATGGAAGTGTTTTTGTATAATTATCATATTTAATTCTGCGATGGTTGATTTCAGTGAGTATGGATATTTTGTCTTTCTCATCTTTTTTTTTTTGAGGAAGACTGGCCCTGAGCTAACATCCATGCCCATCTTCCTCCACTTTTTATACGTGGGACGCCTACCACAGCATGGCTTTTGCCAAGCGGTGCCATGTCCGCACCCGGGATCTGAACCAGCGAACCCCGGGCTGCTGAGAAGCGGAACGTGTGAACTTAACCGTTGTGCCACCTGGGCCGGCCCCTCTCATCTTAATCATATTTCTCACCTTCAAAATTTGTGAAAATAAGGAATATAAATTATAGGTAGCTGCCAATCTAGAAATAGACTTCCATGGTCTTTGACACTCCAGAGATGAGAGCTTCTGAGCCTTTGTAGTCTGTGGGTTCTTCTAAGGGTGATCTCTTATTCATTTATCTTAAGTTTGATAGACCACAAAATTATCATTTCTCCTTGACATGTACAATTAGAAAACCAAAGTTTCAGGAGACAGGAATAAAAGAGACTAATGACATCTAAATTCAAAATGATATGTTGTTTTTGTAATGTTTCTCTTACTGTTTTAACTGTGTATGTACCGAAATATCAGCGAAGGCTTTTAGACCCAGTAGTCTGTAAATGTGCAGTGGAAGCTTGTAGACTTCCGTTTAGAGGGACTGGTGCAGCTGATGCTGGCATGGTTTGAAGTCACACGATGAGTTCCATCAGTTAAGAATGTCGCCTCTTTTTATTTAACTTCAGTGTCAAGTTACCATTTTAGTAGACATTAATGAACAATGTCACTCTTTCTGTTGTCAGTGAAAAGGATGTTAGTTCATTTGCTAGCGTTATATGTAGGTAAATTTGTATTACTTAAGAAATAATGAGTTTTTCAAATTTTATGTTAAAAGTTGAGATTAGATTTTCTCAAACTAGCCAAATTAATATGCTATTGGATAAATTTATATAAAATAGTGTAGTAATATTTTCCACCAAAACAGTTAACTAGAAAATGTTATCTCTGTGCTTACCCTTTAAAATATCTCTATAAGGACCACTTTCGTGTTTTTGCAGGTACTGTAATAGGTGTGGTCATTTATACTGGAAAAGAGACTCGAAGTGTAATGAACACATCCAATCCAAAAAATAAGGTAGGCTAGATGAAGGAACGGCTGCTTTAATGAACTTACTTTTTCCTTTCAGTAAAAAAGTACATGTCATTCTGAATAGCTCGTTCATTTTAGCTTAATATATAGCATAAAAGCAGACTTTCAAAAGTGCTGGTGATTTAGGTTATGAATTCTCTGTGTTTATATAACAACATGCTCATACTGTAGAATTTCCAAAAGTATCTTTTCTTGATTTATCAGAGTTTTATATGTGTCTTAAATTTTCATTGTTAGATATATAATTTGCCCATAACTTGACAGTTAATTATGAGTCTTAATTTCAATCTATTTATTTTACAGTTTACACTCCTTATTTTTATGTTTATGGTTCATTTTTAAAATAAAGGAATCTGTATTAATGTTTTTATGGTATTTAATTCGATGTGTTATATTGTTAAACTAATTTTATTTAACTTACTTCCATTTCAGAAGAAGCATATTGAAAACCAGATTTTGGTTTTAAAGACTGCTGTTATATTCCTAAAATTGTTACTTATGCAGTATACACGTGTGGCTAAGTTAAATCATAACAAAAGTTAGTTTGAATTCTCAGTAGTTGTTATTTGGATAATACATTTTGTATGATCAAGTCACAAAATGTGCTGATGTCCACTGAATGAGAAGCTCTTTCTGCCTGTGCATTGTACTTACTTTTATTTGGAACATAACCTCTGTGTATCTAAGTAGAGTAAAAAATCCTGTCATGGATTAATGCCATGCTTTGTGAGTAATTAATAGTAAAGGTTGTCTTTTGCAGGACATATTGTTACAAAGCAATAGAAATGAAATATTTCTTTGAAAAGATATTTTTTAAGACAAAATGTATTCCATTTTTTCAGCTAAATGTGATTTTTAAAAAATAGTTAACCCTTCAAAATTTAGGAAGACAGCACTGGCGCTGTGATGCTTGGGGCCGTTTTCAGTGCAGCTGACCAGCACTGACGGTGCTTCCTGTCCAGAGGGTGTCCTCACCCACCCACTGGGCACATGCGTTATCCCCATGAGATTAATGGAATTTCATATCTCTGTGTTTGTTAAGAATCCAGGTGTCTGTGTATGATGTGCTTACTAAGGTGTACTGTTATTTTCGTATAAATTCTGATTGTGATGACAGGGAAGACTATCTCTGTAGATTGATATTGCAACTTGGCTTGCATTTGAGCAAATCAGATATACCCAATATGTTCTAATCAAATATACCCAAGTCAGCATTCTACAATAGAGTTAACGTTATTTAAAAATAAATTATTAAACTAATTATTGACAGAGTTAGAATCACATACGTATTTATGTATGTTTTCCATGAAGTAGAGTGATTTCTTTTTCCTTTAGTAAGTAAAACTAGGATGTTCTAATAATGCACATATGAGTTCTAGGGTTTTTTTCCTTAATCATTTTACTTTTACAATTATGATAATATTAGAGGGTAAATTTAATTTTAAATATAAGTTTAAACTTCTTAAAGGCTATCCTGCCTTTAATACAACTCCTTTTTTCAGTCTGCCTTATTCTTCAGTGTAGCTTGTTTCCTGTCACTTTCTCGTTGTGTGTCTGTGTGGTCAGTTCTTTTCTTTGTTCACCTTTAGTTTTGTGTCAGTGTGCTCTTTCCCTTGGGTGTTGGTCCAGGGCTGTTGAGGCGACCTTTTGTCGGTTTGTGGCGCAGTTAAGAACTTTGGCCCTGGAGCCTGACTGCCTCGGTTAGAGTCAGCTTTGCCCCTGACCAGCTCTTTGACCCTGGGCGAGTGCTGTCTGTTACCCATCCTTGTTATCTTTCTACAGAATGAAACGTGAAAGGTGATTGAATGCCGTAGCCTTTCAGTCTAGCCCTCACTGTCAGTCGAGAAACGCTCCCTGAGTGACTAGTTGTGGAGGGCACTGTGCGCGCTGGCCGCCACATGCCTGGAAAGCTTGCCACTGCCCCTTCTCCGCACTCCTCCTCTCTCTCCTGTTTTTCCTCCTCCTTCTTCTCTTCCCTCTCCCTGTTCTTTTTTTGTTTATTTTTAAACAGCCTTCTACATTTCCTCGGTGTTAACAGACTGTTTTTTAGGAGGGCATCCTGGGGGTTTGCAGAATTGGGTTTAAGTCCTCACCCTGCCACTCGTCCATCTCACACATGGAGCCGACGTGCTTTCAGTGGCTTGCACCTTCCTGGTGCTTAGTCACGTTCGGTGCCCCCCTTCCAGTTAGATATCGTGGTGACAGTGATGGCTGTGGACATATGGCAGGCACTCTTCTCAGCACTGTGTGTGCATTCCGTCGAGATTCTGGGTTTATATCAGGGTGGTTGCGGTGCAGGGAGGTCATGACTTGTCGACGTAGTGCTTGCTTCTCCTTGAAGGCACTATAGATAGAGCTCCAACTTGATATTGAAACATTTTTCTGTAAATAAAGGAATAATCTTAGGAGAGAAATAAAATCTCTAAATTTGCATATGTCACTAAATCTTTTGGAGTGTTAAATATTAGATTTATAGGAAAATCTGGGACAAGGTTATAAGCATGCTACAATGGACAGAAAGTAGCAGATGTGATTTATCTGGGGGAAATGTTTGTGATATATATTGAATGAAAAGATTATGTGATATTTGAATTCCTAACCAGAGAAGGGAAGACAGAAATTATTCACTGTTTGTAAGACATTGTTGTCTAAAGACTACATCTCAGTGTTCTTCCAGAGCTTAGTAAATCAACAAACTTTTGGACTTCAGAGAAGGCTAGTGGAAACGAAAAGTAAACATTTAAAAGGGAAATCGAATCATTTACCTGATTTTCATTCGATTTCTTAAGGGAAGCAAAACCGTCCCTGAACTCAATTCTGAGAGCTGTCCCATGCACGGGACGTGTATGACGACGTCAATGGATGCCATGCTCAGGTGAAGTTTCGCTGTGGAGTTCATTGACAGCAGGGTAGTTTGGACTGGAAATACATATTTCTGAGTGAGTCAGGTCTCTAAGTCCTGCTGTAATACAAAGTGCCCTAAACCCACAGTGGCTTACTACAGCAGAGATTTCTTTTCTCCTGGTGGACCATGTTTAACTTATTGGCAGGTACTCTGCTCATCATGGTCCCTTAGGGACCCCTTCTGCAGACATGCTTCCATGACCACTGGGATAAGAAGAAACCAACACAGGAAATTACATACTGACTCTACGGTGCCAGTAGGTCACCTTTCTTTGGCCAGAGCAATTTCTTTTTCATTTGGTGAGGAATAATGGCCCTGAGCGCACATCCATTGCCAATCTTCCTTTTTTGCTTAAGGAAGATTGTTGCTGAGCTAACATCTGTGCTAATCTTCCTCTGTTTTATGTGGGACACCACCACAGCATGGCTTGATGAGCAGTGCTAGGTCCGTGCCTGGGATCCAAACCCATGAACCCCAGGCTGGCCCCTGGCTGGAGCAATTTGATGGCCTCAGCAAAGTTGAAGGAGTCAAGGAGGTACAGTCCTAGCCCAAGTGCAGGAGGAGGGAGAATTGGGAATATTTGATGAACAGCACTACTGGCTACCCACAGTGTGGTTATGGATGAGATTTTACAGACCTTTTTTGTACATTAAAAAAAAAAACCAGTAGTTAAGGGATTAGCAGAGGAAGGGCAGCCCTGAAAGAACGTTGAAAGAGGAAACATTTTCGAGGTGGTTGGTGAACAGCAGCGTGCTGGTCTGTAGAGGTCATTGGGGAGGAAAAGTGAAAAGAAGCCGGTGGATGCAGCAATTAGGAAAATATTGGTGAAATGAAAACCATTGCCATGGATTTATTTGGGTGGAATTCAAATGCAAGGGCACATAGGTGGAGTTTTTCAAGGTCAGTGGTCAAGGGAAGGTCATGTGTGCAGAGTAGGGCCCCAGGGTTAGGGAGGGAAGACGCAGCATGTTTTAGGCAGGAGGCCGAAGCAACCGAGAAGTGGTGGTGATCAAAAACTGACTGACTGGACTGGAGGGAAAGGATTTTATTGATTTTGTTTGTTTGTCTTGAGGACATCAGTATCACAAAACTATTAATGCTCTCAATAAAGGAAGAGAGGGTCTTAGTTTATAAAGAAGAAAAAATATTCTATGGAAGAATAAGTTCCATGGGCATTCAGTAGTAACTGAAATATATAAATGTTAAGATTACTTAAAAGAAAATTATATATTGTTATATGGAAAATAGCTACCATATAAAATATGGCATGGCTTCTTTGATTTGTAGAGAATATTTACAATTATCAATCAGTCAGTCAGCATCTCCCTCTCCTCCTCCCCCACCTTGCTCCGTTTTTCATTTATTTCCTATCTTCATTGTAGTATATATAAGGAAGGTATGAATTTGTGAATTTGCCCTAAGTTCCTAGGATGAAAAACACTACGGGAAAAGCAGTGCTGATTTAAGAAAAAAAAAAATTAATGATAACAATAACTGAGGTGGTGCATTTGGTGGAGAGCATGGTAAGAGTTTGAGTTCCTAGAAGCACCGAGAAGGGTCACAGCCAAACAGTTTAGGCTCGTAAATTAATGAGCAGTGCTAAGGACCTGACTGGTGCTGGGAATCTTAAGTTTATAATGGAACCAGTAACAAGTCTGTGGTTTTCTCAGGCTGATGTTCAAGAGCCAAAGCAGAAATGAAGAAACACACACACAGATCACTGGTCTAAAGGTGCAGGTTGTCAGGGTGGGTGTGTCCAAGGAATAGAGGGCAGACAGGAACTTATCACAGTGTGGCAGTCACTGCCTGCAGATCCAGACAGACAGCTCAGCAACAGCAGGGGGTCTTACAGATTATGGTAGTAGATAGACATCAGAAGGCTCTCTGTACTCACACCCACTCACAGGACCCCTGGAACGTCTTTAGTATTCAGACTCACTCACCGAACCCCCATTCCAGTGGCCCTGCGCCCACCACAGCTTTGCTCTTTGGTGAAGGCTGTTCCAAGGAGTCCCTTCTCCTCTTGGAAACCGCCAGCCATTCTCCGTGACCTAGGTGACATGAGTGTGACTCCCATTTG